ATGGTGTGTATGTATAACTCTCAAACTTTCAATCATATTAAAGTCATTAAAGTTAAAGTAACTTTATTACCTCATACTCCCTGGGAGTAAAGGATTTTGTATAGACTTGGTCATTTAGTGGAAATGCCATGGAATCTACAGTTTTTCTATAATTATTACTCGCAGTAATAAAATAACAGTTCCCTGATAATTATTAAATAATTTTTACCATTCAGTGATGATAAAATTCGCAAAAGCACAACACCATTTTATCTAAAGTGCCTGTTGTTGGATAATTACACTTGCATTTAAAACTTAAGATTAAGTTAGGTTAGGTTAGGCCAGAGAGAAACCTGAGAGCGGCCATCCCGGCTTTTTTCGTGTAAAGCTGGAAACACAATAGACACAGGCAATAGGCACAGACAACAGGGAATAACGAGCCGTCCAATCAGAGCTTTGGGGTATAAATTCGATATTATATCCCAGAGCTCTGATTGGACGGCTCGTTATTCCCTGTTGCCTGTGCCTATTGCCTGTATCTATTGTGTTTCCAGCTTAACGCTAGGAAGCCCAGTACACTAGCGACACTAAAGCCGGTTCTACATTGAGCTGGTTCTACATTAGTCGCATCGCAGCATCGCAAGCATTGCTGTCCAATAAACATCAAGCTAGTTCGACTCTGATTGGACCGCAACACTTGCGACACACTTGCGACGCTGCGCTGCGATTAATGTAGAACCAGCTTTAAGCCGGTTCTACATTAGTTGCAAGCCGATCGCAAGTTTGTTGTGACAGCCAATCTAAAGCAGCATTTTGAAATCAATGGCTGTGTTCAGCAGACTCATAGCGTTTTCGGCCCGGCCAGGTTTGCACCAACTTGGGTTGGATTAATGGCGTTTTGTGCTCTCCTATTGGTAGAGCGGGTGACGTCAACCAATAGGAAAGATTAATCCAACCCAGGTTGGTGCAAACCCGATCGGGCCGAAAACGCTATCAGCAGTTTTGCAACCGTTTTATGATTCGTTGCGCTGATTGGATCATACTTTTATAATTAAAGGAATAATTCTATCACAGCGAAGAATCACAAAACTGCTGAATCTGCTGAACGCAGCCAATATAAAGAGTTGATTTCAAAATGCAAATTTTAGATTAGTTGTCGCAACAAACTTGCGATCGGCTTGCAATTAATGTAGAATCGGCTTTATATCAATTTTAAGCTGGTTCTACAGAAACCTGATTTTGACCATGCTTTTTTCAAACCCTAATTCGGTTTTTTTATGGCTCCTGCACACTGGACGCGGAAGCGCTTGCCGCGCGGCAAAATGAGATGTGGTAATCAATGAACACATTAGGAATTGTAAGCTTATTGGCTATAGCATCACATTTTGCCGCGCGGCAAGCGTTTCCGCGTCCAATGTGCAGAAGCCATTAGTCCGGATCTACAATAGGTGTTTTATGCCTTATGCCGTAAGAAACCGACCAATTATAGTCGAATCCGAGAAGAATAAGCGACTGTGATTCGCCCATTTCTTATGGCTTAAGGCTTAAAACCCTATTGTAGATCCGGGGTTAGTCTCTATCCTCCATGGCTTGTACTGTGGCACTAGTGTGTCATACGTAGTTAATATCCACTTCTTCAGAGGGCAGTAGTGCGTATTTTGCAGTTACAAGAAAAAGGCTCTCATGTGCTCTCTCAGATATAAGTTTCTTTTCAAGAATAGAGGTCTCAACCTCCAAGGCGGGCCATCTTTAATTAATATTTTGTCGGTGTCATTGAATATTATATCGATGAATAAGACAGTAAAGATATTTAAAAATAATCAGCAGTTTTTATCTCATTTATTTATCCTCCTATTGTAGTGCCTATATTCTCAAAAGCTTTTTATGTTTTAAGAACCAAAATATATTACATAAATTTTGTGTTAAAATTGTTTAGCTAAAGAGTATTTTTTCAAACACGTAATTATTATATATTAAAATTATCCAATATATTACAATTTTATTACAGGCACTTTGACTGAATTAAAAGAGCTAATCTTTCCAGGATATAGAATACAATTAAAGTATATTGTATACAAAGTTTTATAATTGCTTTCTTAAAACAATATACCATTTATTCTTACTTTATGATTATTTCTGACATTACTGTCAAAACATTTTGTTATCACTTTTATATTATATTTATAAACAGGGTTGGGTAGTGCCAAGTTAAAAAGCTAAAAGTTAAGTTAAAAAGTTAAATAATT